CCTGTAGGTTTATTAAATTTGATTTAGAGTCACCAGACCTTTTTCTACTTGTATGTTTTTTGTAAGGAAAATACAATAATCATACAGTAAGCATATGTAGCTTTAAGTATATGAGTGATCTTATAAAGACCTACTTTAATAATACCTGTTAAGAATCATAAGTTATTCAATCATTTTATTCATCATAAGTTGTTTTGGGAAGTAGGTTTTTAAACTGAACAAATATGAGAAAAACTAACCAAAAACTTCTAGAGGCTGTTTGAAAATGTACCAGATTAACAACATCCAAAAAAAAGGGGATTCCCAATGAAGACTTGTAATTAATTAATTTTTTTATAAAATAATTAACATTAATAGGACTATCTAAAGTTAAAATTATAGTGCTCACTTATTGTGTAATGATTAACATAACATTTTGGGACAACATGGGACCTATTAGTCCATCTCAGCTATTCCATACTCTAAATTAAATTATTATAATTAAAAAACAAATCTTATCATTCATATGCTTATCAAGCTTTTTCTTAAACTCTCTTAAATTTACTGCCTCTACAACATCTGAAGGCAACCCATTCTACAAAGGCCAACCACCCTGTTAGAAAATCAAAATGTCTTAGCTGAAGATGACTCTACCTTGCCAAAATTTATTTGTGTCCCATAGTCCTACTATTCTCACTGTTAAACATGAAAAAAAGATGATGTGTCAACACTATCAATTCCCTTTACAATCTTAAACACCTCAATCAGATCCTCTCTAACTCTTCTTTTTTCAAGAGAAAAGAATTTCAGAGATTTCAGCCTCTCCTTGTATGACAACACCTCCATCCCAGGCATAGTTCTAGTAATCCTTCTCTGAACCCTTTCCAGCAATTCAATGTCTTTCCTAAGGAAAGGAGCCTAAGACTGAAGACAATATCCCAAATGTGGCCTAACCAGTGACCTGTACAATGAAATTATAACCTCTTTTGACTTGTATTCAATCCTATTTGCACTACCACTAGCAACAGCGTACTGCTTGGATGGCTTTAGAGACTGATCGACTATTACACCAAGATCCCTTTTCTTCATAACATTATTAAGGTTATTCCCAATCAAATTATACTTATAATTTAGTAAACAGTGAAGATTTTTACAACATTAATAGTAATATGCAGACTTTGTTTTTTTATATCTTATTTTGAAATGTTATCTTACTAAAGAAATTTCAAAGTAGTTTTAAAATACTTTACTTTTAAAACTACTCTTATACAATCTATAGTTAAATTAGATATTTGTATTAACAAGTAACAGTTTAAATCCAACTAATTGCACCTCAAGATATATGTCAGATAAGTGTTTACTGTTATGCATCCTGTAACTACGTTTCTTTTTTCTTCTTCCCAGATAATTTCTGAGTTACTATTGATATATATGTGTGTGTGTGTGTTTGAAACAATTAGCCAACAAATTTGGTGTCAATATGATTTTTTCATAAAAAAAAAAAAGATGAAAATAACAGTATTCGTAGATTATAAGAATTAGAAAACACTTCTAAAAGATAATTTTGTCTGTAGTACTGACTTATTTATTATTTTTTAGATTGGTTGTATATCACAGACTGGAGGTTAGATGCTGTTCTAAAGATGAATAAAGAGACAGGAGCAGATGAACAAATTATGACTGCTGTTGAAGAAGGAAATCGGCTGTATGGTATCAAAGTTTACAGCACCAAGAACCAGAAAACTGATTGTGAGAGGCTCCATAAATTCATCTTTAGTGTTTCTATTCTCAATGCTCTTAACTCTTATTAAAGAACCAACTAAAAACAAAGTATTTTACATGATAAATTACTTTCGTTTTGTAAATATTAATACAATGTGATGTATGTGTGTTATAGAAGTAAGCATAGAGAAAAATGTACAGTTTTCTATAATTTGTTTTAAATTTAAAGTTGGGCAATAATTTCAAAGGATAAACAGGACTATTAATTTTTCCTAACTTTTAATTAAAATTAGAAATTATCATTCTTTCATCTTGCCACTTATTTCAACAGTGGTAAAAATGTAAAGTAAAACATTATTGTGAAGCTGACTGCATGTTTTTCTTACTCTAACTATTCAGTCATTATTCCCAAAATATTATTATTAACTGTGTTTTTAGAGCTAATGGTATATATACATGAAAAAATTGTACTTCTGTTGCTGTCAAATTGTTGTTCCTAACCTTTCATGTAGTGCTTAAAGTAAGATATGTCTTTATCTTTCTTTTCTAGCTCGCCACCCATGCAAAGTCAACAATGGTGGTTGTGATAGATTCTGTTTTGCCATACCTGCAAATTACAGTCAAGGTCCTGATCTTGATGTTAGCTGTGGCTGCCCGTATGGGGAAAAGCTTCATGAAGATAAAAAACAATGTATTTCTGACCCCACTGCAGAGCCTCCTGTAAAGGCCTGCGTTAATTCCTGGGATTTCACTTGTGACAACAAACGATGTATTCCTAAGACATGGGTTTGTGATGGTGATGATGACTGTTTAGATAACTCTGATGAAATGCAAAACTGTACCCGTAAGTTTTTATATTATTAAATCTAAACTTGTGACTTAACTGAGCTGATATTAGCAATAAGTCTGAAGTATGTAACATTTGGATACTTTTCAAATTTACTAAGTATGTGTTAGAAAAATAGCTGTGAACTAAGGCTTCCACTCCAGGAAGAAGAAATATCAGTATTTTTTCTGCTGAGGAGTTATTGTTATTTTTTGCACTTCCTTTGACAAATATTTTCCATTTTTTTATCAAAAAATGGATTATTTTCTTTTGTGTTATCTCCTGTTTTACAACACAGAATTAATGTAGAACACTGTGGAAAATGAGATGATCCCATGCTTGCTTGTGAGATGGTTTAGATGGTTTGTTCAAAAACTTTGTAGACAAATGCAGTCCATTAACAATGCCTTTCAAGGCTTCCTGTTACCTGCAACTGTAAAAGTGTTTCAAGTGCAATACATACAGTTGTTGTTGATGTGACCACTATGGGACATCAACTTGAAGAAAATATTTAGAAGGTAAGTAGGAGCAGGTGCAAAACAGTTATTTGAGAAATCCTCTGTAGCTATCATGTGAGAATAACTCATGATGAATTTCCAGGCCAAATATAATATATTGGATGAGACATAAGGAGGTTTTAAGGTTTACAGAAGAAGAGGAAGGATCTATAAACTCAAACTACTGGGAAATGAGTGTGAAAGGGAATGGATTCTGAATATTAGCAACTAACTATCAGGAATAAAGACTTGAATTGCCTCAGAGATTCAGAGAAAGTTTCAATGATACAATCATAGATGGATTTCCAAAATGATTCACAAGTGAAAACTAAGTTCATTTGAAAGCAGCCAGAAGAATTTCAATTAAAATGTTAATATATCTGAAATATATAATTAATCAGTATTTTCAAGTATCATTATAATTACTAACTCAATTAAAAATCATCCATTTTTCCTTTTGCTAAAACAGTTTGTAAAAACCATTTTGTTTTCTTATTTAAATACTTCTGGTTATTGGTTACATTGAAATATCTAAGTTTCTTGCCAAGTTAGTTATGCCAAAAACAGCAGTTTATCCACATCAAAATTGGTCAACTTTGACAACTAGTTTTTAAGTTCTGTAAACAATCAGTTTGTGTTGGTTTTGAACTTTTTAGACCCAAGAAAAATTTGAATATTTATCACCAAATTTTTGTGATTTTGGCCTGGTTAAGTCACAAATTCAGGTTTAATATATTTAGTAAAAACACTTTTTTGTTTTTTTAATACAGGATTTATAAAACACCCACTAAAAACAGAAGCTCTGAAAAATCATTAATGTAGACAGGATTGGCTGTTTAGTGAAATGGTACCTAGATATATTCATTTACTAGTGAGATGTAATCAATCATTCTTTTTGTGACAGAATCAGTTGCAACATACTTTACCCAGTTGTTGTTTTTTTCCACCAGCACATATTCCACAGTGATCCTCAACCAAAACCACAACTATCTCACATTTGGGTGGTCATGAAACAAACTTAACAACAACTTGATTAACCTTCTTGAACTTTTTATTTTGTCTTTTACTTCAGTAACATAAATATTAAACTACTATAGTAATGAAGGATTGGATTCATGATGTGGACTGATCAAAAATATTACTGTAAAAAATAAGAGTCCAATTTAGGTAGATTCCACAGGGTTTATCCATAGGCATCTGTCAACATTCCACTATCTATGAATTTCTGCTTTAGACCTACCATAATGAAGAAAATAATCCCCCATAATACCAATACCAGGTTTTATTTAGACACGTATTCACCCTACTATACATATTGGCACAAATAATCAAATACAAATCATACATGAAATATAATTAACACATGCACATGACTAGATTAATATTACCATTCATAGCTAAGAGGTTTAAAGTAGTGAGTACTGACACCGTGAATTTGTAAACTTGGGGTTATATACAAGAGACAAGCTATGAATAAGCAAATAGTTACTAAACAAAATGCTTAAAAACCTAAAATTGAAAATATGAAACCAAATAAAAAATATAACATACATTGTCTACTACCATAATTCAATGATTCTGTCAGGAAACTTACAGTGGATTTTGTGCATTCATGTTGAAAATGATTTGATAATTCTCTGTAATGTGCAAATAATATTCCATGGTGCATTTTCGTTTCTGCTATGGTGATAGAATTGATGCATGAAACATTGTTTTGTGTTTGTAAAAAAAGCAGAGTGCACTTGCTTGAATAGTTGTGTCTGAGCATGGATGTTGTTCCAGAGCTACTACAGACATTTGGCTTTTTAGCTGGAATGATAATGAACATCAGTATGGTAACAGAGACAAAAGAGAGACAAACCAGCTGAGTAGCTAGTGTTGCAGCCACTGTATCATGTCTGAGAATGAATGTGCAACTCTCAGAGGATTTTGTAAATAATCTGAACTTAGTACAGAGATATAAATTCAGTATATTGCTCAGGGAGTTTGATGCATTCATGGGACCAGGTGGCCAATTAGGTTAAACAACAACAATATGTCATCATACAGAAACAGGCTTATTTGGAGCACCATAGATGTAGTTAGTGCAGAATTTGAAGGACAGAATAATATAAGATTTGGAGAGAGCATTGTTGTTTCCATTGGTGATTGTTAAAAAGAAAGAAGGAATGGCAATGTTTGTCACGAATGTTTGATGGATTAATGTGGTAAAGTATGTTGATGCCTTTCCTTTACACACAGACAGATTCTCTGGATGACAAAAGTAAACTAGGATTGCTTTCAGTACTCAAAGGACTCTATGAATTCTGTATCATATCATTTGATCTGTATAATGCACCTGCCACTTTTGAGAGATTGATTGAACTTATGCTCAAAGGACTGCAATGGGAGAGATGACTTATCTATGTAGATGGCATACTTGTCTTTGGTTGTAAATTTCAAGCCCCAGCTTCAAGGATGCACAGTTTAAATTTAAACTAGAAAGTTTGCACTTATGTGCATGGAAGTGCAGTTTCTTGGTCACATGTTGGTAGAAATGGAGTGTCCACTGATCCTGCAAGGATTGAAGCAGTCCCTACTTTTCAACAAGTGAGAAGTCTGCAGCTCTCTAGTTAGATGATGATGTTTTATCATCAATGGTTTGATTAATTTCTCCAAGATAGCTACATCACTATCTGTGCTGAATAAGGTTGATGTACACTTTAGATGGAAGATGCATTCTATTCCTTGAAGTGGGCCTTGGTTTAAGCACCAATGTTGGTTTATCCTTGTCTAGATTGTTCATTAATCCTGGAAACGGACATCAGTCGTAGTGGAGTTGGTGCAGTTTGTTACAAGTACAGGACAGTATGGAGCAAGTGATTTTATATAGGAGTCACATGCTGAGTGCTGATACTGTAAAACAAAAAAAGAACTGCTTGCAGCTGTGGTATTTGTCAAAAATTACAGACACTACTTGCATGGTAGGGTGGGAACACACATCACTGAACTAGTTAACGAACTCTTAAAAACCCAGAAGGTATGATTGCATGTTGAATAACAATGCTGCAAGAGCATGAGTGTTGTGCATCACTGCTTGGGTTAGCAGAACAGAAATGTAACAGATTATATCATCTTTCCATGATAATATATCCAATTTGATGAACATCCAGCAATTGCAGCAATAGAGACTACAAACATATGTTTTGTGACAGTTCTGCATTTTGATAGATATCATGGATGTCCATTCAGGAACTTCAGGAAGAGCAACTAACCAGACACAGCTTGGGTGCTACTTGTCTTCAGGAAGGTAGTGTGTACCCATCCTGTTACAAATTGATGAATGCTGTACTTACTCATAGAATATATGTCACTTGTATAGTTAGTTACTAGTGCAGGATGGTATATTGTACCCTTATTATGAACCAGTGAGATGTGGTAACCAACTCGTGATGCAGTTAATGGTTTGTAGAGCTCCATGTCAGAAGTACTTCAAGCTTTCGATAATGCAAAGATTGGAGTGCACCAGAGAGGGTTATGTACTATTAAAAAATTTGTGAAGAAGATGTTTTGGCATAATTTGTACCAAAATGTTGAGAGATAGTGTAGATTTTGTATCAAGTACTCTGCTATGAAGAAAAACTGACCACATCAGGAAAAACTTTATTAGAGTTGTCAGTTCTCTTTTAAAGAGATATGCAAATCCTCTGCCTGAAACTGAAAGACGCAATCAGTATGTGCTGGCCATTATTGAAACTTTTACTAAGTAGGCTGAAACTTATCCAGTGGCTGACATTTTAGCATGGTAAATCACAAATGTGTTGATTGAGCAATGGATTTCAAATGATATTTAATAGCAAGGTTTGGGTAAAATATTTTGATGTATCTAGTGAGCAGAACATTCCAAACTTGCTAGATACATAGCTAGGACAGCTGAGGTTGTTACATAAAATCCTAGGGAAAATGACATTTGGCAGTGGCTGTTGGTGATGACTGGATGGTTGAGTTTTGTACTCAATTTTTGTGGAAATTTACCTTTAGAAGCTCGTTGAGAGATCTAGTAATGTTACATGCAAGTCAACAACATTTTCTATTATGTTGCTGCAAAATTACATCAGATGATATTCATGCTAAGTTTCGAAGTAAATGTTGATAGATTTTTACCTGTAGAAATTCTATGACAGACAAGTGATCTTGCATATAAATTTAACATGATTTTCTGTTGTATTGCTATGCAAGATTGTGCCTGATAGTTTATTTGGTGGTGTATGCCAATCCTCCTGAAAGGCAGTAAGGAAGTTATGCTCTAATACAGCATGAAAATTTTATGTACACACCACAAATCAGGCAATGTGTATATCATTTTGCTACATTTTTGTCTGAGTTAATGTTTGAGTTTATCTAATATAGCTGGTTTTGTCACAGCCCATTGTGTCAAAAGTGTACTTGATGGTAATACTGGTTACCATGGAAATCATTCTAACTGCTGAGTGTGACCATCATGTTCTTCAATTATGCAATGGTTAATTGTTTTCATTACATATTTAAACCAGTTTATATCTTTATATGATTATGTACTTGAATGTGATTTATACCAGAGTACAACTTTTCAGTTTAATAAAGAATTGTGGCTTGAAATATTAAGATGTGATACATTTTGTGAAAAACTGCAGTGATTAGCTTGGACCATACTGAGATATAAAATACAGCATATTATATGTTTTCTTAATACTAGCAAAAAATATATACAGTTTGGTCCCAGATTGGAATATTCATTAGCATGTGATTTATTACTGAGAAAAATACACTAAATTTGTATAAAATCTCCACCACATCAGGTAATAAACTTGGTGGACCCATTGTTTTCACTGATGATGGGGAATTAATATTCTTCAGTTTTGTTAACAGATGTTTGTAGATTAAGTGACTTAGTCTTTGGAGGGTAAAATCACCATATGATCTCCTGTTTGTTTGAAATGAAAGAAAACTTATTGTTTCTTAGAAGTTTTGATTTAGAAATATGTTTTATTTGTATGATTGAACAATTTCTGTACATTGACAGATAATACTAATGTTTAATAATATTTTTTCTAAACAAGGTATCATAATTCACAAACTTTGCATTAACTACATTCAGCTGTAGTTTAACAACGTAAGTTTTGTCTGGATTTATTTATGAATTCAAATGCTTATTTCTTCAGATTATGTTTAACTTGTATATCAGAAAGCATGTGGGAATTGAGAAAAACCAGAAATCTACTGGGCTAGAAACTTTGGTCACTGATTGTGAAGTAGCTGCCTTACATTTGGTTACCAGTCTCATGTGTTTTTGGTAGTTTAATCCTCTTCCTCATTGGTCCCAGGATCTATCTTCATGGCAACCAGACAGTGATGGAAGAACTCTTGTGTGTGAGAGGAGAGATGGTTAAACTCACTAACTGAGAATTTTTGCCATAAGTTGACATGGTCAGAAGTTTGGATAAGGTAGCTAGCTGCACAGGCATTGTTCCATACAAAGCTATGTGGATTACACATTCACTAGTGCTTGAAATAAAATGTGTTCTGGTGTAATAGTAGTGAGTGAATCCACTATGAATATCTCACAGCACATGTGCTACACCTGTATCCAGGTGGCCTGTTCCTAGAGAAGGTCTTGTCATGGACTTTTGGTCGTGACATTTAATTTTACATTGCTAACTGAACTTCTGACCTTTTACAGGTTGGGTTGACTTGGAGTTTTAAATTCTGACTTGTTGATGAAGCCATGGATCTTGTGAATTTTCTGACAATTCATTGCACTTAAAGGACTGTGGTCCAACAGACTTCAGCTTAATGTGTACTAGACACACAAAGAAACTATGTGGATGATGCATCAGTAAATTGTTTGCTTTACCGATAGCTGACAGTATGATATGCCTATTGTAGTTGACATGTGTGATGGTAATCCTGAAAGTAAAACCAATGCTTCGTCCAGGAGAGAGGTCAAGGTATAAGAACAGCCTGAAGCCCTGCAAGAACTGCAGGATTGTATATATATATAAATGCTTAAATTTTATGTAAAACAGTGTTTTTAATTATTATGTTTATTTTTGTAATATGAATGTATTTTGAGTTTATTTGTAATTTTGTTTACATTATATTTTCATATTCTGATTTATAATATTTTGAATTTTGATTATTGTGTTAACTGGCTGGCTGTTGTGCTTCTTTCATGACTTGAGTTTTATTTATTTTCAATTTTGTATTGTGAATTTGATTTTAATTTTGCTTGAGTTTTGTTTTATTATGATTTCATTTTGTTTTATTGATTACTGGAGTTTTGTGTTACCCTTCATTGTCTTCATGTAGGTGTCATGGTGTCTCATGTATCACATGAAGGAAACAGTTATGGCATTTTGCAACTGATAACTAATTTTCCAATTCAGACAGTAAGATTTGATTTTAAAGCTTGGAGCAAGGATGCCTGTGAGATGAGAAAGGAAAGGGACTGGAATACTGAAATAGTGATGAATTTTGCCCTTAGATAACTAGCTTAGAATATATCTTTAGGGAGATATTTCATGTAATTTCTCTAAATTATAATTAACAGAATATTAAAAAGTTGTGAACTTGTATGGGTCCTTCTACTCAGGGAAAACTTGAATATGTCGATGGCTAGAAAACTGTATCACTTTGGCCCTACCTGTGTGCCCCCCCCCCCCCGGGGGAGAAACAAACCCATTTCAAGGGGTGGAATATGTACTTCAACAATTTGGAATGAGTTATGGATTTTTTTCCCCTGTAAATGTTAACTGGGATAGTCAGTGATGCATGCAGCATTGGATTGCCATATCCCACATTTTTACAGCTTTGTCTGAATTTTGGTGGTAGAATAGAATCCCTCTCAACCCCTTCAGCCAGTATAAGTCAACCCGTGAATAAGGAGACTAACCAGTGTGGTAAATAGATGTAATACACAATAACTGTGAGTAAAGATTTTGTTGGTTTGTTCAGTTGTGTTTGTGTATTTCTTTCATTTACTGTCTGAATTTGAAATTATTCTTTATGGCAAATTTCCTGATTTTTCAGATATATTAAGCTTATCTGTTGGGCACCATTGTACCTGAACACCACACAAATATATTTTGTTTCAGTAAATTAGCAAATGAAATTGCACAGAATTTGCAGAATTATTTTTGAAAGGTACTTTTGAGGACTGTATAATAACTGTATCCTGATTGTGTGGCATGATACTACCCAGATAGTATGATGTGTTTAAACAATAACAATATAAAAACATGGTGATGGCTGATTTCCCTTAGAATGAGAATGTGACCTATTTTTAATATGAATAGTATAATGACATAATGATGGCTGATTTCCTATTTGTATGGCATGAGAGAGTGTCATATTTTGACATGAACAACGTAATGACGTGATATTTTTTTTCTGATCTGAGACATGAGAGTGTTATGTATTTTTATGTGAAAAATGTAATAATGACATTGTAAGTTATAATTGATTTATTGTAAAGTAAAATGAAGGTATAATATGTATGTAAATTAAAGTTATTGGATAATACAAATGACAAGGTATTATAGTAATTATTTTGAGAGTTAGTAGACTAAAATTCATTGTTTCTCTACAGAATCAACCTGTAGCTCAAAAGAGTTCCAGTGTGATAGTGGACGTTGTGTTCCTTTAACATTCAAATGTGACTCAGATAATGACTGTGGTGATTACTCAGATGAAACTGGTTGTGGTGAGTGTTCACCTTAATTAAAAAGTTAGGTATGATTTAATACGTTTATCTGGTTTATCTGAACCTTAGAAAATTAATCTTAACTGGCTGAAATTGTTTCACTACAAGACATGAAGACAACACACTGGCATGATTGTATAAATGTTTATGGGCAAGATTTCTGAGTAAAATGTATTGAACTTTTAGAAAATGCTTCTGTACCTTTGAAAAAATTCAGTAAGCATTTTGGATCCTTTTTTGTAAATGAAATAAACGTTGCTTTTTTTTTTAGTGATACCCATGATATCTAATCATATGAGAGAACATTCATAATAAGAAATATAAAGATATTTTTTCTAAACGAGTTTTATAAAAAATGTTTTGAAATGGCTGTATAAAAGTGTGTATCAATAAACACTGGAGATATTTTACAGTTGAAAACTATAACTTCCATTACATTCACAATTTCATAAACAAGCTGTTTTTATTCATCAACTTTTTTGTATTTGATTTTTTCTTTCTTGAAATACAATGTTTTCCATAAGATCAAATATTTTTTAACCACCTTTTCTCCTATAGTAAATATCACATGTGAAACTACGGAATTTGCTTGTGACAATGGTCGATGTGTTCCTCAATCTTGGAAGTGCGACTCTGAGAATGACTGTGGAGATGGCTCAGATGAAGGAGAGTTTTGTGGTTAGTGAACCAGTAAAACAAGTAGACAACTAATATACATAATAGTTAAAATAAGTGGTAAAAATTTGAAACTTTACTGCCACACTTACACATGATGGATATAAAACCTCTGTGGACCTAAATAGTACTGAAAAATGTTTAAATTATTTCTAAGCTAAATATCTTATTAAAGTAAACACTTTTGACACTTTAATAATGTGTAAAGTAAGTATAATGAAGTGAAATACATTATTTACCTTTTTGTTTTTACATAGAGTTAAATTCTTTTATAATTAAACATACCAGCTCCAATACAGCCCCCACCCCCAGTGGCTCAGCGGTAAGTCTGCAGACATGATGCTAGAATATGGGTTTTGATACCTGTAGTGGGTACACCATAGAGAGCCATTGTGTAGCTTTATGCTTAACTACAAACAAACAAATCTGGTACAAACCCAAAATTTTTCAAAGGAAAGCATCTAAGTATTTTTGTGTTTAATTATTTATTTTTCTATCTTTGTAGCCCATGTAGAATATTGACACGAGTTGGTTAACATGAATGTTAGTAAAATGACATGCAGGTCACATGACCTGCTAAAAAGTTATAAATACTTTAGCATTGTCTTGTAATTCACTCCTGAGGTTGACGTTGCAACGTCGAAACATGTAGAGTTGTCAACTTTTTGAAGGCCATAGATAGGCTTAAATAAAACGTTTCTTAATTGTATACCAATTTTAACTTTGAATATTATTTATGATTTTAACTTTATACACAAGTGCCAAAACACAATAATCTTGTCTTATAACTTCTAATAAAAAGCCCTCGATATCTCAGTTATTTTGTAATAGTGCAATCTTTTCCTGGTAATCTGCTTGTGTAAAAGAACTGTACTTTATCATCAACTTACAGCAAAGTTTTGTACACCTACATTTAGTATTTGAGGATTATAGAAATTAAATGGTATTTTTGGTAATCCTCACAGTGGAAAAGACTTGTGCCTACTACCAGTACACATGTCCTGGATCAGGACATTGTATTCCACAGAGCTGGGTCTGTGATGGTGACAATGACTGTTTTGACCAAGCAGATGAGCAGAGTTGCCCACCTGTTACATGTACTTCAAGCCAGTTTCAGTGTTCTGACCAGAAACAGTGTATTCATGAGAGCTATCATTGTGATGGTGTTTCTGACTGCCAAGATGGTTCTGATGAACTGGGATGTCGTAAGTAGAATTTTGTATTAGATTACTTATTTATGAAGTTGGTTTCTAATTGATAAAAATAACAAATACTCGCTTAAGTCGATTGATAAAATCAACAAAGATGATCCGTGAAATAAATATTTTTTTGCATCTGTTTTTAATCAATTTTATTAGTATGTTAAAATTTTAAAGACAAATTTCATGTTTATTTTTCAGAAGGCATGAACTGGTTCTGTTTAGTAGTTTTGAACTTGTAATTTATTCCTCTGATTTCATTGTTTCTTTTTTGTTAAATTAATTTACGTTTCCTTTTCTTACTCTTTTAACTCAGTATTATTCATTGTATTCTATAACTCTTCCCAAATTTGTACTTTTCAGAAATGTTAAATACAACCTAACAAAAAAAATTCATTGATATTGTTTTTGAAGAATTGTTATTGTGATGTCATATATCACTTATGCAAAGCTATTTAACAGATCAACACAAAGAAAGCATAAACTTAGATATCTAACATATACAGAGGTTAAGTACCATATTTGAAAACAACTTTAGAACCTCAAATCATCATCACAGTCCATGTCGCCACATCAAGTCATGCTTTATCTAACAAACGTGCATCTTTACAGTAGCTCTGCAGCACAGTTTCAAAAACAAGAGGCTTTGTCGTAAGGCTGTCATGTTCAAAGAACATTACTCCTTCCTGCAGACTTTCCTTAATCCATCTAGTGTATGAGGACAACTGTGCCCATTTCAACAGTCAGATCACACGGAAATACTTTTATTTCTATGTCTTCTTATGGAACAGTATGAATACTCATTTCATAGTCTAACTGCTTGAGGTATTTGATGGTTGAACCCTAATTTTGTGGAAGCAATGTGTACATGTGACTTGTGTAGCTTTTCCAGATTGTGACTCTTCTTGATTGTGTTATGTACTGTTGCCTGGACCACATAGCTGTTTGTTTTGTTTTTTTTACATTGATATTTGTGTTCATGGATTCAAACCTATTACAAGATGCTGAATTTTTATTACCATGGATGGGGTACAACTTTTTGCATGTCTCTTTCTGTATTGTTCCCTGGTATTGATCTGTGTTCCTTTGTTTTCCAATGGCATTATGTACAAGGGACATTTCCATCTTGGAAATTCTAAAGCCTCAATCTGAATACATCCTTATGATTAGAGTGTATGAACATTTTGTATTAAAAACATTTAGTGGCATTCAACTATTTACAAAATTCCAACAATGTCAAAATAGACTTCTGGTAAATGTTGTTAGACTGTGATTTTTTTTTTATCAGCTGCGGTATTGTTGTATGACTTGCTGACTTGTATATTCAATATCTTTGTGATATAATCTACTCAACCATTTTTAGCCTTTTGGTGAAGAATGACTAATAATATTATGGAGAACTTGTGATAATGTTTTAAAAGTATGTAAAATAAGTATCTCATGTAAGAATAAACTAAATGTTGAGTTTCTTAGTTTTTGTGTACTTGCAAATTTTGGTATGTAAGTGATCATGAGCATATTTGGGTGGTTTAAATTTTTCTAGAAAATATTTTGTGCATTATACTTGTAAGTGAAAGCAATAACAAAAACATGTATATTTTACTTAGTATGTATGGTTTTACATTTTCATATCTAGTAACATTTTAAAACATATTTAAAAAAGTCAGTTTTATAAATCAGTAACTCTTTATAGGGGAGGGAGAGAGAGAGAGATGTTGTATTTAGAGACAAGTATACCTTGTGTTTAATATTTTGAATATTATTTTTTTTAAAAATCTAATTAGCATCTGTCTCACCAAATGAGTGTGACCAAGAAAAGTTATTCCAGTGCAAGACCTCAAAAATTTGCATCCCCAAAACATGGTTCTGTGATGGTACTAAGGATTGTGAGGATGGAAGTGATGAGCCTGATAGTTGTGGTAAGTTCCAATTTTTTTATGCTAACTGTGGACACACTGTTTTTAAGGTTTTTTAATTAGAAACATAGCACATCAATTTACATATGTGTATTTTCAAAATGGTCTTTGTGGTGTCACATACTGATCTATATGTCAGAGGTATTTGTAAAAATGTGTACGAACAAGCTGAACATTTGATTTCTTTACATTCTGCTTAAAGAAAAGTCACTTAAAAGAAGTAGTTTGTTCATATTGTGAAACTTAAATTTGTAACTTGCTTGGCGAACTGGTGGTCATATAAAATTTTGATCTACTTATTTGTATTTTAATTTGATTTGGGTGATTATTTATGATGTGAAGGTTGCATAACTAATTCAGAATGTAGTTATGACATTTATTACTTTAATGATTCAAGATAACATAAAATAACACTACAGTGATTTAGTCTGAAGGATAGTTACCTGAAATTTCACTTTTAAGAAAATAAATTCATTTTGCAGACATTGTGTCTTTAATTTGCTTGTTACTTACATATTTGATAGTAGATCTATTTTTCTACCAATGTTACCAAGGGGAGCAGTTGCTTCCTTCACTTCTTTTTCTGTGGGATATAACATACATATGACATTCAAAATAATTAAGTCAGGCTTGTTTTTTTTACACCCCCTCCATATTTTGATCCCAAATCCTGACCATGCATTAGTTCATGGGGTTATTTAATAAAATGTGTACAAACATTTTTAGGAGAAGTTGACTGTCCTACCAACAACTTCAGATGCAACAATACACAGTGTGTTTTTAAGTCATGGATTTGTGATGGGACTGATGATTGTGGTGATGGTTCTGATGAGGACTACCAGCATGCTTGTGGTAAGTGATAATGCAGACTTTTAAGTTGCCATTTATACCATTTTGCCTTGAGATCCTTTGGTCAGTAATTCCTTTAATATTTTTTTATTTGTTCATATACTTCACATACAAAACATTTTTTTGTTGTAGTATTTTATATTTGAATGCACAAAGTTTGTAAAATGTAAAACCAATCAGGATCACTTCTGCTGCCCTACATACGAAGACTATTCATGTATGAGGTTAGATATATAAAGTTCTGAACCAATCTGATGGCTGTGTAGGGCATCTAAACAACTGTGAGGTTAAAACTATGTTGGTTAGACTTATTCCATAGGGTGGCTGGACAGTTCGCTACTGAACATTTCATTCCCGGAAATTTCGCTACTGGTCAGCTCGCTACCGGTTTTTTCATTACTAAAGTATTTCGCTACCTGATAATTTTATGTCATAATCTCCCTTACATATCTTATTTAAGATCATAAAATAAAAATATTTTGCCAGTATTAGTTTATTAGAGAAACTTTTTCAAAATAAAAGAGGCTCTTATGTTGTAAAATATTTTATTGAAAATTATGAAAGATCAGAACTTTTTCCTTGAATAGTTGTCCAGCCATAATGAGTTATTTACATGTAGCTGGAACAAGTAGTGAAATGACTTGTTAGTGAAATACCCTAGTAACGAAAACACCGGTAGCAAAATGTCCGGGAAAGAAATGTTCAGTAGCAAACTATCCAAGAATCATTCCACAACATGTGACACCCATCAAACACCTCTAGTACAAAAGACACTTTGAGTCAAATGGTGTGATAAAAAAGGATAAACTAACTGACTTAGCTAGTAAGAGAAACTAGATCTAACAGCACTTCTAAAACCTAGGTATCAGGGTCAAGTACTAAAACTCAACAGAGTGATGACACCAGTACTCTAAGTGTCTATAGATAAATGGAAAAATTCACACACAAAATCTTAACACATAAATACTGCTCTCTAAGATGGAGCTTTGAGATATGACTGATCCACTCCTCAAATATTCTTCCCTTTGCAGTGCTTAGTAATATCTACACCCACCTCTCCCTTATGCTTATTCTTGTAGCTTATTCTAATGCCCATTATTGAGTTTGAAAGAAATTCATATTTTTCTTGCTGATTGATGTAAGTGGTGAGTATTATAGGTTATTGTGGATAATTAAAAAGGTTTCAATGAAATAAGAATTATTTAAAAAAATTATCCTACGTTTATAGCAGAAACATTGAAAAATATGAACAATTACACAGGATTGCAATGGTTTTATTGTCTTGAAATTTTTACATATTCTACAGTAATTCCTGTACACTGAATTTGAAAATATTCATTCTTCTCCATCACATACAGATTTTTCACAAAATGTCAAATGTACTTTTACATAAGTGAATCATTTTCATTGAAATCAGGTCACATTTTGTTATGCTTAAAATGTTGACAATCATTGGCTATAGATTTCTCTAGACTAATCGTGATGCGAGAGTCTTATTGATTGTTCTAGAACGAAAACATAACACACATAATAATAAAAAAATGTTCATTGCAGTAAACGAAATAATAGTTTGATCTAATTAAGTTTTTCTTCTTTCTGATTTCTAAAAAATCCTTATGCGATAGAAAAAAATATTACTTTCAAAATCTGTGGAGCTGAAATATGGAAAATCCCATATTAAAACCAAAACAACTTTTATGAAGTTTAAATTTGCAGGCCTGTGTCATCTTTAAAAATAATGTAAATAGAAAACATTTGGAGCAACCTTTGCATTTCATAATAGATTATCATTTGTCAAACAAATCCTTTGTAATTCAATTAACAGGTGTCTTTGTTGTAGTTCTGTTCAGTATTTCAGTTGCATCTTAGGCTCAATTGATTTTGATAGATTGAGTTTCATTGGTTAAAAAATACATAGTGCAATGTTGAGAAAGTGGATATTGAAAGTTTGTTGAGCATATAATCCACAATATAAAATAATTGATGCTGTTGGGTACTAATTTTGAAAATGTGGGGTTGAATTAATCTTTAAAAACATGCTACAGTTCAGATAGTTTCATGAACATATCTCATAAAGCAGTTCATGGTCAGTTTGTTACACATTGGTTGATGTAACCATCATTATAACAAAACTAAAATGATAAACAAAGTTAAAAGAAATTCACGTCATTAACTTTGATATATAGAAAAAGAAATGGGCTTTTTTTCCAATTCAATTTGTATCAGTTTTTATTGTGAAGAGAAAATTATAGTAAATGTCATAAATCTTGTATCTTTTTGTGTAGAACTAAAGAAATAAAATATTTCTTGGTAATTTTTTAGGTCCTCCACCCAGTATTTGCCTGCATGGTCAGTGGAAGTGTCCAAGTGCTGTTGAAATGTGTATAAACATTTCTCAGGTGTGTGATGACACACCTGACTGTCCTAATGATGCTGATGAAGGCCCAACCTGTAGTAAGTAAAATTCTTTGTACTATAAATATTTTTTTATCATATTAAGTAATACACTAATATTTCCTAAAACTGGTAGAACAAGAAGATTTTATCTTTGCTAAATAAAAGTAAAAAGTATTTAAGGTAATTATTTTTTTCTGTGTGTTGATATTTATACAACTTATTTAAATTGACTGCATTGTACTTAGCATATCATATGGAACTAATATTTTTATTTTAATGCAGTAAGTGACAGATTTTATTTTTCAATACAACAATTGGGCTAATTATGTTTCATGTAATTTTTTAAATATTGCTCAATGTATTAAAAAACCAAGTTTGGCATTGAGAGTTTTACATGTTTTTTTTGCTAGTTTACTTAAGAAAAAGTTCTCAGTGACTCAACAGTAAACTTTAAGACTTATAGAGGTAAAATCTAGGGTTTGATTATTCAAGGTAGACACAAAACAGATAACCCATTATGTAGATTTGACCTAAAAAAACTTTAAGATATTTATAGTGTAATTTGTCTCAAAGGTCATAGTGTATTAGAAAAATTTATTTGAAATTTCCTGTTGTTATTTATTGACTGGTAATAGTTGTATTTGCAGAAGATAATGACATTAAGGTATGTTATTCATGTCAAAATGAATTGTTTGCATATTACATTGTAAAGTTCCATAGCTTGTTATTTTTATTTGTAGGTCTTGACCAATGTAAAGTACAAAACATTGGTTGTAGTCACAACTGTAAACAGACACCACTGGGACCTCTATGCCTATGTCCATCAGGTGAAGTTCTAAATGACACTACTACTTGTGTTGGTAAGTATAAACACTACTAGGGTATAATTCATCTAAATTAACAAAGTAATAAGTGCATATGGAAAGAACTTTTTTGTCTTCAAATATTCTAGTCTGAACTTGCAAAAGTAACAGCTCTTTGGTTGTGTGTTGTACTAACTCAAGTTTATTAGTTTTGTGTTATTATAATGCAAGAAATCACTGCATGTGTAGTTAATTACAAGAAATTATTACTTATAGGAAATTAATACTTACGTTTTAAGTTTAAGAGACAGTAGGAATATAAGTCAGTACTGGAGACAGCAGCAAATCAAAGTTAATACAAGTCAGTACAGGAGACAGCAGAAAATCAATGTTGATATAAGTCATTAAACTCATTAAACATAATCCTTTATTCTCCTGAAGAGGAATAGTTAACTATTTGAAAGCACTCAACTTTTGGGTCTTGTTTGAAAACCATTACGACTTTTGTATGTGATCCTATGTGCTAACTTCTTAAGCAGTAAATCAATGTTAACAGTAGGTTAGTACAAGAGACTGCAGAAAATCAGTGTTACCATATGGCAATACAAGATACTGTAAGAAATTCTACTAGTGCAGTACACTTTTTGTTGTTAAACTATAGTAGTTTTTATTAAAGCAGTAACATAAAGCTCAATTTATCTGAGCTATGGTTGCATAAAGCTTGTTATTTGTAATGAATTTTACTTGTTTGTTTATAGACCATGATGAATGTGCCTATCCAGGCTACTGCAGTCAAGACTGTGTCAACACTAAAGGTTCCTTCAAGTGTAAATGTCAGGATGGCTACAAACTCGCTAATAATCAACACACCTGTAAAGCTATTAGTAAGTATTAATTTATCTTTTAGAATTGTGTTTTATCTGATGAAAAATCCATTGATGCATTCTGATTTTCTCCTAAATTTGTTTCTTTTACATATATTATTGGTTAGTTAAACACTTCCTACTAATGCAAAGTTGTTTATCTTCTAAATATTTTAGAAATATAGTGATGTATTTTTCTTTTAACATTTGAAATTGTGTACATATGTTTGATAGGTTTGGTTTATAATAATGCTTGGAGACAGCTTAAATGTGTAATGAAGAAAAACTTTAATATAATTATATATATAATATATAATGGGGTGCCAAAATATCTCTTCTAAGTCTTACAACAGTATCCAAACAAACATAAGTATATTCTAATAATGCTTGGAGACGGCTTGAATGGGTAATGAAGAAAAACTTTAATATAAGTTTAACATAACAGCAAATGTACAACGTTTCGTCATCATCAGGTACAAGTAATTTACACTGACACAGATATATATACAGTATGGAACAAAGAGGTCACATGACCGTAAAGGACAGAATTGATATACGAGTTACTCTTATTAAAAATAGTCTAGTTATTTAAGGTGTCAATGAGAAAATAAGTTTTAGAGTATTGGGTTTCTTCAGACAAGAGCACTTTCTCTTTTTAGCGATTTGGCAACGTGTATTATTATTACAACGTATGAAGTCAGACTGAAGCACTTGTCTTTTACTTGTACAGTAATTTTAAAGTAATGCAACTTAAAGCTTATTATTTACAAATCCTGATCAGAAATTTTTTGATTTTTTTTACCACAAATTAACAGAATAAGTCACTCAAAACAATGTTGTGAATTTAGAAAGTTTTTCTTTTCCGAATTCTTTAATTTTCTGATCAAATGCCCCATATTAACTGGAATTGTCACCAATAATGACTGTCATTGTGCATGTCTAATCAGCGTGGAATATCACGAAATATTGTGGTATATTTTAAAAGAGTGACGTAATACGCATACCATAGCTTTCACAAACAAAAGTTCAGGTACAGCACCTTTAGATACTGTTTAATAAAAAAGAGGCGAGCTCCCTCGTTGTTTTAATTTCTTTATATAAATTACCAACACATTTCGTTCATGTCTTCTGATTCTACTAGTACCATAAGTATATATAGATTTTTTCAACTTTATATACAATACAAAGATATTGTTGTCAAACCCTCGATCCTTTAATTTTCAGTTTGGCATCCTTCATTGTTTTTCCTCAACAGCTTCTTTAGTCACGAAGATAACATTAATCATTTTTTTTATATATGTTTCTTAATGTTTAGCATGAAATTCTAAGAATAATACATAACCATTAGCCTCTACTATTGTGAATTTTGAGTTTTACTTCATTATTTCTGGTTCTATAGAAATACATAATTCGTTTGTAAGAATTTATATTTTAGATTATCTTGAGAATATCCAAGTGCGAACAAGAAAAATGGGGCAATCTGATCTATTGTTTCACACAAATTATCGCCTAGAACGTGAGTCTATACAAAACACTTGTTAAAACTGTTTCACTTTCTCGCAACGTTTTTTCTCAATAATAAAAATATTCAATGCAAAATCTACTAAACAACTCAAATATTGAATCATAAATACAACCTTACCTTTCTAGAAATTTTCCCTCTTTCTACAGCAACACCTTCGTAGACGAGGCAACAACAGGAACTCCTCCCTAACCAGGAAAAAGTTCTAATGACCGTATCTTTGTGCAGACTGACCTCTATTTAAGGCACTAAGTTAGACCCGTTCCAAGAAAAGAACTGATGTGATACGTGGTCTTCAAATGTGGATTTACGACAAAATAAATAGTGATGAAGTAAGTGTTATGTGGGATATCCTTAAAATATTATTTTTACGAATTATTCTTTCATTGTAAAAATAGTGAACATTGATTAGTCTCCTTTATCGTACAAATCGTATTAAAACAATTTCGATGACGAGGAACCCACTTTGAGACTAATAATGGCTGGAGATGGCTTGAATGGGTAATGAAGAAAAACCTTAATATAAGTTTAACATAACAGCAAATGTACAACGTTTTGACAAGGTTTTGTCATCATCAGCCATTACCCATTCAAGCCGTCTCCAGCCATTATTAGTACTAAAACAATGTTTAAGCCTATAAAGCGTAATGAATGATGTCAAACTAAAAATCTAAATGACCTACAGTTTGACAATGATAAATTCTATACCGTTCATAAATTTCAAAAGAAGAAAAAAAAACTTTATGCTATTAGTTAGTTCCGTAGACTTAGAAGATTTTGACAAAAAGTCTTGGTAATTGATAGAGAAGATATAAAACAAAGAGCGAGCTCGCCTCTTTTCTTGACTTTTAAAGAAGAAGCTATAAAATTATAAAACAGTATCTTACAATACATCACTATTTGTAGCTTAATACATCGCAAGATTTCACGATATTCCAACACCGATTAGAAATACAGAATGACGGTCGTTATTGGTGCCAATTTCAGTTCAAATGAAGCATTTAAAAAGAAAAGTAAGAATTCGAAAAATAAGTACATTCACGAAGTTGTTTTGAGTGACTATTATCTTGGTTTGTGCATGAAGGAACTTATGTAATTATATGGCAGTCAGAAACAAATGTGTGAATATTTATTATATGCTTATTTTTAATATCTCGTCGCTCTTAGATGATGTTATACGTATAAGTTATACAAGTATAAGTTGGGATACGTGTATTTAGACGGGTACCGTGTGTTTAGATGATGCTGAATTATGAAGCAAGTTGTGGTTTTCCTCATAGTGTAGGGTTTGGGTGCAATCTCCTTAAAAATTATTTTAACGAATTATTCTTTCAATTTAAAAATAGTCGACATTGATTAGTCTCCCATATAGTACCAATTGTACTAAAACAATTTTTACACCTATAAATCTTCATGTCTACCTTTAAATTCTAAGAATAATACATAACTATTAACCTCTACTATTGTGAAGGTTGAGTCTTATTTCATTATATCGGTTTGTAAATAAATATTTCATTTCAAGTAATTTCTATTGCATTATTTTATTATATTAAAATTATATTTTCTTCAGCATATCTAGATGTGGACAAGAAAAACGGGGGTAATCTGAATCTATTGTTTCACAGAAATTATCGCCTTGTACATGTTTCAGTTTCTCAAAACCATCCAATTATTTACTTAATAATAGCACTATTTAAAGTAAACTCCAGTAGACAATTCAAATATAACCTTACCTTTCTAGATTTGTTACCCTCAGCTACAGCAACAACAACTCCACTTTGACCTAGAAATACTTCTAGTGACCGTGTCTCTGTGCAGACTGATCTATATTTAAAGCATAAAGTTAGACCTGTTCCAAGAAAAGAACTGATGTGATGTGGTCTCAAACGTGTATCTACGACAAAATAAATACTGATGAAGTAAGTGTTAAGTCTTTTACTTGGACAGTAATTTTAAAGTAACATAGCTTAAAGTTTATTATTTGCAAATCCTGATCAGGGGTTTTGTTGCTTTTTACTACAAATTAATAAAATAAGTCACTCAAGACAACGTTGTGAACTTACGAAGTTTTATTTCGAATTTTTTAATTTTCTGATCCTCTGATCCATATTAGTTTAAATTGTCATCAACAATGACCGCCAATCTTCATGTCTAATCAGCGTGGAATATCACAAGATATTATGGTATAATAAGTTGAATATAGTGACGTAATACGCACATTGTATTTTACTTAAACAAAAGTTCCGATATAGTACAGCACCTTTAGATACTACTTAATTTCATTGTTTGTTTGTTTTTTTCTGAAAAGTGGAAGTAAGAGGCAAGCTCCGTGTTTGTTTTACATTTTATTATTTTTAGCCGCGGCAGAGCGACTCGTAGAATGGCTTGAGTTTTTCAAGTATAAACTTTGAGCTCGTAGGTCCGTCATCTCTTGGTCGATTTGAGATCTGATTACAGTTTTGGACCCTGGAGGTAAAACCCTTTCCATTGACGGATTTAATCACATCCAAAGTATTGAAGATAAACTTACTATAATCCTGCTTAAGATAATTTCTATTTGAGGATAGACTGGTAGAGATCCCGATGAGTTTGGTATTGCTGGCTCATATAAAATATATAGCTAATAAAAAGAGAAAAAAGGTCTGGTAGATAAATTTACTCTAATTCTGCCAGAAAGAAATTGAAGTGCCGCGGCTATTGGGGATTTCCACTTGTTTATATAAATCTCAACATTTTTCGACCATGTCTTCTAATTCTACGGAACTAACTAGTACCAGAAGTATATAAATTTTTTGGTCAACTTCATATACATTACAAAGATGTTATTATCAAACCACAGAACCTTTAATTTTTCAGTTAGGCATCCTTCGTTGTTTTTCTTCAACAGCTTTTTTTATTCACGAAGATAATATAGATTCTAAAACAACAACTATCACTTGATGCAAAAGACAGAAACGATATACGAGTACTCGTATTAAATACAGTTAATTAAGGTGTCAATGAGAATTAGTTTTACAGTATTTGGTTTCTGCAGAAAAGAGCACTTTCTCTTTTTAGCGATTTGGCAACGTGTATTATTAGTTCAACGTATGAAGTCAGATTGAAGCATTTAAACAAACATAAGCTGATTCAATGACGCTGACCTTGACCTATATACTTTACAAGAGATTGTCTTCCGAGTCCATATTGACCCGCAGGCTAATTTTCTACTACTGTCATGAGTATGCCTCTACGTTCTGCGTCAGATGAATTGTAAATACGTAAATTTGTCAGTGATGTCTTCTGTCTGTCTTATTGTTTAAGTAATACCTTGTCAATCGAAGCAAATTGAAAAAAAAAAAATACTGATTATAGTAAATTCAGCAAGACACAGAACATATCAAACGTGCTTAAAAGTAAGTAAATGCACAACATGGTCCAACACACGAACATTAACTACTTTTGTGTTCACCTGCTCCAAAACACGAGGATTGCTACTATTCCGAAAAGTAATTCAGCT